GAATCTTTTGCAGGTGTTTAGAGTTACGTCGTTGATTCAGATGGTTAGGTTAATAGCTTGTTTAGAGAACCTTTTCATGATATGCTAATTTTTTGGGACAGGCATTTTGGGTTTTCATGAGCTGTATGCCATAATCATCAGTATTAAAACAATTAAAGACCTGAAATATTTCAGTTGGTGTGCAATGAATCTGAAATATATGAAAGTTTCATTTTTATCATTACATTATGGAAAATAATGACCTTTATCACAATATGCTAATTTTTTTAGAAGGACCTGTACATGATAAAACATTCAAAGTCGTCCCAATATGTCATTAGGAAACATTACTGTGAAATTGTTCCCCTGTTTGAAGACACTTTCTGCAGACAGGTGAACCTCTACCCATCTTTACTGTGAGATTCAGCCTCACTACAATGTGTTTTCATACCCAGTCCTCTTACTGACCTGTTACCAGTAAGCCTAATTAGGAGCATAATTCTCCTCCAGCTGCCTTGGATTTGTGCGACCTACTTTTACAGCTTTTTTTGTTGCCCGTCTTGCCTTTTTCTGTTTGTACGCCTGTCGAAAGACGAATGTATCGGTGCAGTGTCCGTTTGTACGTCCGTGAACTTTCTCTTGTCCGGGCCATGAATTCTGATTCACTCAAGATAATTTTATGAAACTTCATACACATATACATCATCCCTAGATGGAGTGTTGCACGCACTTTTGGTCACCTCAGCTCTAAGGTCAAGGTCACACCTCAAGGTCAACGATTATACAAGTTTGTCTGCACATAATTACTCACCACACTCCACATAACAGGAATAACAGATTCATACTATATCGCAATAAATCATTATTTTACAAAGATTATACGAAGTTGTCTGGGCCATTGCTATACATTGATGTATTGCAGTATAATATTGGAATATAAGGTAGCATAGTTTAAACATTTTATGTTTACTGTGTTTCATTGTAGATGGAATATTTAAAAATCATTAACATTAAACCCTGCTTTTAATTATATTTTACACAATGTCTCAACTTTTTCAGAATTTGGGTTGTAGATTTTTGTACACTGTGTTCAGAACGTAAATGAGCTTAGCATCATCTTAGCACAACTAACAGATTTTTCTTGATCCTCAGTGAAAGTAGAGATGAAAGGACCCCATGACTACTCCTCCCCAGCAGACTGGCCTCTAATGATAGTATGTAGCATGACTTTTCGTGAGAATAATTAACCTTTACTCCACATTTATGATGTTATTTTGTGTTTGAGTTCCAGCCCTGTATGAATCTTTTGTCAGATGGAAGTGAACATCTTTGTTTTTCCCTGGCACAGTTCTTCATGGTCATGTGCATCGTGTATGTGCTGTTTGGGGCGCTGTGGCTCTTCTGGTGTGCCTGTTACTGGAGGGATCTGCTGCGGATCCAGTTCTGGATCGGGGCTGTCATCATCCTCGGCATGCTGGAGAAGGCGGTGTTCTATTCTGAATACCAGAGCATCCGTTACAAAGGAGACTATGGTTGGCTAACTGGACAAAGTTTCTTGTGTCTGACGTAGTTTTTGTTTAGTTGTCAATCATATTGTGTCTTTTTGCAGTTCTTGGTGCTGTGATTTTTGCCGAGCTGCTTTCTGCACTCAAAAGATCCCTGGCTCGAATCCTGGTCCTTATCGTCAGTCTTGGCTATGGCATTGTCAAGTATGTTGACTACTTTAAAAAATAGTTTCTGAATATTTCAGGTCATTTGTAATTAAAAAGGATGCTTTATCTTTTTACAGACTAAACATCAGTGTAGGGCTTGTTGTTAATGCACATTGGACCTTCTCTCCCTCCTGTAGGCCAAGGCTGGGAACCACAGTTCATCGTCTGGTAGCTGTTGGGCTTCTTTATCTTCTCTTCTCCTCTGTGGACGGTGTCCTGAGAGTGACAGGGGTGAGTAAATATGGATTTATATGAGGCTTGTTCGTGCCAAAAAACTAGAGAACTGTAACTTTGTGGAAAACATTGAAGATGAAACATTGACAAATAGGCCACAAAAAAGGTTAAATCATGTAATCTGGACAGTTTTTTTTTTTTCTTCAAAAAGAAACTGTCCAGATGACAGGATTTAACCTTTTTTGTGATTTATTTACTTGGACGATTGAGCCTACAAACTTTTTTTTTTTGACAAATAGGCTTCTAGAAAAATCTATTTTGGTAGAAAAACTTCCAGGTTCAGGTTTATTTGTCATATTCCTTCATTCTGCTCACGTATAACTGCGTACCGACCCATCCAGGCTGTCACATTGTAAAGTTTGCAGATGATGCAGCGGTGGTGGGATGCATCACAAACAATGATGAGTCCAGCTACAGGCAGGAGGTGGAACATCTGGAGAGCTGGTGCAAGTAGAACAACCTTCACATCAATGTGAAGAAGACAAAAGAGATTATCGTGGACTTCAGATGGAGCAACCCCCCCCCCCCCTTCCCCCCCAGGATGATCTGCGGTGGAAGTGGTCTCCAGCTACAAGTACTTGGGTGTGCACCTGAATTACAAACTCAGCTGGGGCAACAACACCACCAGCCTGATCAGGAAAGTGCGGCTGAGGCGAGCTGGTCTGGGAAGCTCAGTCCTCACCTCCTTCTACAGGTGTGCAGTGGAGAGCATCCTGTGCTCCAGCATCAACGTGTGGCATGGAGGCTGCACAGCTGCAGAAAGAAAAGCTTTGCAGAGAGTGGTGAAGGCTGCACAGAAGACTGATGGAGTCAGTCTCCCCACCATCACAGACATCTACACCTCCAGATGCAGGAAGAGGGTCACCTGCATCATGAAGGACCCCACTCACCCAGCACACACACTTTTTGCCCCACTCCCCTCAGGAAGGAGGTTGAGGAGCATTAAGTGCATAACCACTAGACTGAGGAACAGCTTCTACCCTGAGGCTGTTAGACTCACAAATCTCTAACCAGAATAATCACTGTGAAAAATCACATGTTGCTGCTTATCTATGTCAATGTTGCTGCTGATCTGTTTCATGTTGCTGCTGATCTGTTTCAATGTTGCTGTGTTCATTCGTGCTCATCTGCTCACACAGACTCATGTTCGTGCTGCTGTTCCGTGTATTGTTTTTGTACTACTAGTGCTTAGCATATATTTAGTTGATGTTTTTCTTAGTTCATATCTTAGATGTTATTACTGTTTTTCTTCTACATTTTATTGTTGGATGTAACTGGGACCCTGTGTACATAATTTCGTTACACCACATGTACCACATGAGGTGCGAATAACTAAGAAACTTTGACTTTGATATGCAAATACCAAAGCATGCAGCAAAAATACTAAAACATACTAAAATACTACTAAAATACTAAAACAAGGTGCCAGAGTTGAAAAAGAAATGCATCTACAGTGTGGTTCAGTTAGCTGTGAGGTTCTTTCAGCAGCATGGTTCTGTTCTGGTAGTGGCGTGTTCTTGTTAGCATTGTTAGCAGGTCTTGTTAGTCTTGTTAGCAGGTCTCGTTAGCGTTGTTAGCAGGTCTCATTAGCATTGTTAGCAGGTCTTGTTAACATTGTTAGCGGGTCTTGTTAGCATTGTTAGCAGGTCTTGTTAGTCTTGTTAGCAGGTCTTGTTAGCATTGTTAGCCAGTCTTATTAACATTGTTAGCAGGTCTTGTTAGCATTGTTAGCAGGTCTTGTTAGCAT